AAAAAAAAAAAAAAATCACAACATGAGATGAGATATTAAACCTCCAGCATGAAAGAAAGATTATTCCTATCAATCTTATTGTTGGATGGTGCAAGTGTAATCTTCCTTGCAATGGATAAAAACGACCATGCAAGCCCCCATCTCGATGTCCGACCTTGGACAAATTCGGTAGTCTTCACAACCGTGGCTCCCACATTCCAGAGTTCGGACACTAGAATACTTAGGTTGTATTTTCTACCAACCATGGAAGTATACCACCTGCACAAATACAAACAGAGGAAAAAAAAATCAACGGGATTTCACAATAGCTATAACAGAAAATCGCCTCACAAGATGACGACTATGTTTGATAAACCTAGCCGATTAGTTAGCTCATAGTTTTTAAGTGAATTTTGAGTTTAGTTATAGCTGATAGCTTAAGTGTTTATAGCTGAAAAACTATCTTATATATGATAAAAAAGTGTTAGTAAAAAAACATGATAAGTTATCTTAAATATTTCAATAGACTTATTTGAAAAACTATCCAAGCAAGCTTATGAAATAAGCTCGAGCTTTCTAAAAAAGTTTGTCCTGCCAAACCAAGTTTATTTGAATACAAAAAGCTTATAAGCTAATCAAATAAGCTATAAGCTAGATTGTATGCTCACCAAACACAACCAAAATTGACAATATACCTAAATGTGTGCTTTAGCTTAACGCTATCTTCAATTATGCGAGTGATAAAAGCAAGTTCTCCACCAAAACAAACCATCTCCTCTAGCGTCCCTCCACAAGAAGTCTTCGGATTCAAACCAGCCTCTTCCATAGTTTCGAAGAACGGGGGATTACACATACAGAAGTCAAAAATCTCGCCATCTTTCACAACACCTAGAAGCACAGGTGGCCCATTATAACTCCTCCTCAAGCCCGCACTTCCACCGGTTTGCAGTTCTTCCACTTGAGAAGTTATGTCCTCAGTGCCAACTCTTCTAATTTCGATCAAATCGGATATGTTAGGATTGCTTTCGACATTTCGATTAGCCCACTCAACAGCTACATCAGTAATATCTAACAAAAAGAAAAAATAACAGTAAACAACATGATTATCACTTAACAGAAACAAAGGGTAAAAGAAGAGGGATGAAAACAAAAGAAGAAGAAAAAAGAAATAGTAAGCACCAGAACCAACAAATTTCCAGCCAAGAACAGAAGCCCCAAGAAGCGGATAAATGCAGTTTGCTCCAGTCCCGATATCGAAACCTTTTATGACATCATCGTCACTTTTGCTGACACCGATGATATCGGAAGCCAAAAGATCTTCTATCCAATGAATGTAGTTTGATCTATTGGGCACCGTAGGACACAGCTGCCCATCGGGAATCCACCTACATTTGTCGAAATTCCAAAATTAAATCACACTTAACAATACCAAAACATAGCAACATCTAACAAAATGCCCCTGTTTTGAGAGCAACGAAATTATAAGCACATTAACCTTAATGAAACTTTAGTAAGCTACACAACACGCAAAATTCAGCTCACATTCTGGCAAAAATGTACAAAAATGTTCAAGGAGAATTCTATTGTAGAGGCAATCAACAAGTGAACCCACACCAAAGGGCACAACAGAAAAACAAAAGTAAAGAGCGAGCAATGAACATAGTAATCTTAAACGCAGCAAACAAAATCACTCTCCCACAAAAAGAATCACAAACATTTTACAAAACGAAATACCAGTTGATGCCATGATCGTGGAGCAGCAAGACCCGCGTCAGCTCGCGAGTAGCATTGAAGTCCGTCCAATCAATTTTGGGCCGACCGTCGTGTGAGTAGAAGACATACTGCTCGAAGCTCGGGTAAGATGACGCCAACAAACCGAAATCTGGCGTGTTGTCTGCGTATTTGTTTCGCGGGTGGATTCCCGGCCGCCGATCGGCGTTTTTCCTCTTCCTTTTGCCAGCCATCGCCACCGTTGTAAACCCTAGACCGCCGTCAATTTTGAAACCGCACGTCTTTAATAGCTTCTACAGAAGTCGTGTTTTGTTGACGGCGATTTTCTTACAAAAACAAAATCCTCCATATATATATAATTCCCGAATGCGCTGAGCCTACATGGCTGTTTCTGGTGCTTCGGAATCCTATTTGGCTAATAATCATGCTTCGTAGTTAGGTTTGGATAAATAATATTATATATTAATAATTAATAATCTAGGTCTGGGCATTCCATAAATATTTTTTAGCTATATTATGTATTTTAATATCAATTGTACTAATATAACGCTTTAATTCTTTGTAATTTTAGATAGTGAGTTACTATGTGACTAATATATCCTTGGCTTTTGATTTGTTTCCTACAATTAGCTATTGAATTGTAAATGTATTTTAAAAGTTGATAACTTTTGTATCTCTTATCGGTTTTACATATATAATATATTAAATTAATCATCTTTTGATGATCTTCGATTTGATATCCATATTGTATATATAAAATAAATAAATTATATTTATCTTTATAATAATAAAAAATAATAATATTTATTAAAATTCATTAGAAAATAAAATTATTTTCAATTGATATATTTATGTTTAATGTAGTTATATGTTGTAAGTTACAAAATTATTATAATATAACACAAGTAAGTCGCATAAATAAAAAGGGTCATACTAAATATAATAATATTAATATTTTTAAAAGGTACTTAAATTTTCAACTACACTTTTTCAGTAATTTTAGATTTTAAGAAAAAAAAAAAATTAGCAAGCACCCATGTAATACACGGGCGTTGTACTAGTTAATATTATTGTGAAATATTTTGTTGATAAATTATCTTTAGTGTTGTTAAATTAAACAAACTCGGCGCCTTAAGGCTTAAGTTCAGCTCCAGCTGGAGGCCTTAACGGCCCGAGCTTGACATCATTTAAAACTTGTTTGGTTAACGAGTGGAGTTCAGTTCGGCTTGATAAGACTCGTTCTATAGTTCAACTCGTTAAAGCTCGAGATCGACTCGTTAATATTAGAATTCGACTCGTTAATATTGATAAACAAGTCGAACTCAAGTTCAATTTCTGACTTGTTTATTTAACAAGCCGAGATCGGCTCGGCTCGGCTCGACTTGTTTACATGCCTACCTATCTTCTAAGGGGGTTAAAAAAAAAATAATAATAAAAATGAATATCAACTAATTGAGTCGAGAATAATCGATTTCAATTTATTTCTTTTCTAAATAAACTGAGTTGAACTAAGTCGAATCAAATCGAGCTTACATAAGCCAACCTCAAACCCATTGTTCAGTTACAAGTAGGGCTAAAAACAAGTCGAGTTGAGTCGAGCATTGACCTTATCGAGCAGGATTGATTTTTTAATAGCTGCTCGAGTTCGAGCTCATCGAGCTCGATTTATGAGACTCGAGCTCGGATCAAAATCAAAATGCTCGAGCTCGACTCGAAAATATTTAAGTGAAAAAGTAAAATTACCATTAATTACATATGC